TGAAGACCAAGATAAGCAGGAGGATGCCCACGAGTGTCTGGTGTTCATCCTCAGCAAAGTGGAAGAGATATTTCTGAACCAGCTTCCATACCTGTTAGTATTTATCTAAGGGAAAGAACAATGCAAGTAATGCACCCTGTGCTTGCTAACATTTTTCTGATTGCAGGCCTGATTTCTTCTCATCTATGACAAACCCAGTTTTCAGAATGTTTGGTGGATGGCTGACAACAGAATGTAAGCAGAAATGGGTTTAGTTTTTTGTTTTGTTGTGGTGTTTTTTGTCAATTTGTCTTTTGTAATAATATTCTGTCTAATGTCAGGTGTTTGCCCAAAGTGCTTGACTGTTTCTAAAACTTACTCACCATTCACTGGTCTCTCTATTGATGTACAGAGAAGTGAACAGGGCAATATTCAAAGATATCAAAGCGTCCAAGAAGCGACCAATGCTTTCTTCGAGGGAGAGAAGGTGGATGAGTATACATGCTCAAATTGCAGCCGAATTAATGGTTGTACAACTAAAACTACTTGCCAAAAGCGCTTCTCATTTCATGAAGCTCCCTCTACTCTTGTACTACACTTAAAAAGGTGATTATACCATAATCAACTCATTTTTCTATGAGCTGTCTGAAAGATCTCATCACGTTTTAAAACTTGATTTCAGATTTGAAGAAGATCGGTCAAAGCTTCTATCAAACATCAGGGTTGACCAAGAAATAATGCACTGTTACCGTTTAAGTGGAGCAGTTCTCCATAGAGGGCCCTCCTCTGATGAAGGGCACTATTTATCACTACTTCAGTGCCCAGATAAAACATGGACTTTGTGCAATGACAGTAAAGTTAGTGAGTTGTGAGTTTATATGTCCCTGAAGTGTTAAAAAATAATGCCAACTATATGTTGTAAATTTTCTCATGGTTTTACAGGTAAAGCAAGTAACTCAGTCTTATGCAAATTCTCAGTTGGACGAATCTGGATACATTCTCTTCTATAATAGAGCTGATATAATGCCACAGGTATGCCGTTTCTCACACAGGTTCCCTTGTAATGTGTTTTTATTTTTTGAAATTACTGTCTATTAAATTTTGTGTATTATCACTTGCAGGATAAAAATAGCAGTCCTAAAAATACTGTAAGATCCATACCAACTGAGAAAAGAAAGAAAATTGGACCTAAGGTTAAAATGGATACATTCCTATGGCTTGTGAACTTAAAGACATGTGTGCTTTTCTAACCACCTCTTCTTTTATCAGGAAAGTTCTATGCAAACAAACAAGGATTTTTCTTCTCAAAAGAGGGACTTTGATGACTCAGGGTGTGCACCTCTGACTAAATGTGCAATTCCAGGCAAATTTGTTAGTCCAATTACTATATTAAAAAGAAGGAAAACTCTGCCTAAGGTACAATGAACTTTTGCCTTCTATGAGTCATGCAAATGTACACTATCCCTCACTTATGTATATCACATTCTCTTCTCAGGAAAATTCTACAGTGTCCTCAAATGATTACCTTATTTTATCACAAACAAATAAGGATTTCTCCAGTCAAAGTAGGGACATTGATGACTTGGGATGTGCACCCCTGACAGAATCTGCAAGTCCTGGGAAATTTGTAAGCCCAATTAATATAATAAAAAGAAGGAAAACACTGCCTAAGGTACATTAAACTTCTGCCTATTGTGAGTTATGCAAATGTGCACCATCCTTTGATTTTGTATCCTCTCAGGAAAATTCTACAGTGTCCTCAAATGATTACCTTATTTTATCACAAACAAATAAGGATTTTTCCAGTGAAAATGGGGACACTGATGACTTGGGATGTGCACCCCTGACTGAATCTACAAGTCCTGGCAAATGTGTAAGCCCAATTAATATAATAAGAAGAAGGAAAACACTGCCTAAGGTACATTAAACTTCTGCTTATTTTGAGTTATGCAAATGTGCACTATCCTTTGATTATGTATCCTTTTAGGAAAATTCTACAGTGTCATCAAATGATTACTTCATTTCATTACAAACAAATCAGTACTTTTCTAGTCAGAGACAGGTAGTTGATGACTTGGAATCTGCTCCTCAGGTTAATCATATTGAAACTTCTCATTATAATGTTTTACTTTTCAAGTCTGTCAATGTTGCTTAGGTACTTTCCTTTAAATTTCAGGTGGAAAATGTTAGTTCTGCAAAGAATATTAGCCCAATCAAAATTAAAAGGACAAGAAAGATGCAGAAGAAAGTAAGACAGACAATTTTTTTTTTCTAATTTTTCTGTTGTTTTGTTACCTTTTTTATGTATTTCATATTTTTACTCCCAGGAAATCTCAGAACAGTCATCTCATGACTACTGTATCATTTCTCAAACCAACAATCTGTGTGGCAGAAGCAAGGTTGGTTGTGCCCTGGACTGCTATTTCCTAATACAACTGTTTTTTGCTATGCTCTTTTGTTTAAGTTAATTATATCTTCAACTGCCTCTTAGGGGTTTTCTGTTGTTCCACCAATGGATGAGGGCTTCCAGGATCATCATTCTGATGATGGTTCACCCAAGGGGGATGGACATATTGAGCCTAATTTTGATTCAGAAGTAGGAGATGAATTCCATGGGCATTATTCTGAATTTACTTCATGTAAAGAGAATGGATGCTATGAGCATGATTCTGACGCTGACTCATCCTACAAAAATGATGACATCCTTCACCATCAACCAGATAGTCCTGGTTCACCCATGGATGAAGGATTTCATGAGCGACAGATGCATGAGGAAGATAATGAAGATATGTTCATTGAGAACTCACCAATCAAAGCATCATTTAAACCAATAATTTTGTATGAAAATGAAGTAGATGGAGCCATTTTACCAAAGAAACCTCTGATCGCTAATAACAGGGCGGCACTTGTGCAATGGTTAAAGTTTCGGGGAATTCCTACGCAAGGCACCAAAGATGAACTACTTGAAAGGTGAACTACTTTTGAGAAAAATAGAATGTAGAGTATACAAAAATGCTAACTCATATTTCCATGTGAAATGAATTCGATTCTATTTTTTTTAGAGTTGCTATGGTAATGGGAATGGGAAAGTCCCACATCATTGACCCGCGAGCTAACGATGGAAAGGCTTATGAAGCCAAGGCTGCTGCTGTTCGTCAAGCAGCAGGTCATCTTACAATGGTACTGACTTAGTTTCCCTTCACAAATTCATTAAAAATTATTCAAATGGTGAATTGAAACAAAATTTTATAACTTTCAGCTGACACAGGCCAGTCAACAGATACCTGAAAACCTGAAATGGCAGAAATTCCCCAGTGTTGACCTGCCAATCAATTTCAATTTTGGACATATTTATTTCTATTTGATTGAGAGCTGTCCAACAATGCCATCTGATGAAAATTCTTTAGACAGTGAAAGTGACAGCGAAACCTCCGAGTGTGAGCAGTTGCCTGATCCATTTGACGATGATCATAAAACAATTAATGAAGTGAAAATGCTACGGAAGGGCTTAAAATTCTTCAAGAGTAAATTTGTGAGAGGTGTACAGGACTCTTTGGGGGAGAGATGCTACTTCCTTAAAGGTCAAGTTCGTGCTTCAATGTCCTTGAAAGCTTATGAAGTGACAGTGACAATATCAAAGCGTTCAGGGAGTATTCATAGTTGTACATGTCAGTGCATACAGCAGGCCCTTGGTCGCTGTGTGCACGTGAGCGCAGTTCTTTTACATGTATGGAGTCACATAAGGCTCAATGGTTATTCAGGTAAGCATGGTAATATTTTTACCATAATTATTTTTATTATTTTCTCTTTTATTTAAAAGGAATTATTTAGATTGAAGAAATACTAGGGCTTCATTTTGCAATTGGTACCTGTTTTGCTATTGCTATTTCTCAAGATGTGAATCAAGAATCATAGGCTGTTTTCTGTTGCCTGTGTGGTCCTTCAACCTAGACAAATCCATTATTATATGCAGCAGATACTTCGTGCAATGTTTTTCTCCACGATAATACCTTTGATTAGTGTTTCTGGTGTTGTATGTCTTCATGGGAGATGAGGAATCGATCACTTACATTTTTGGGTCATGATCATGTCATTTGTAGATGCCGTGAGTACATGTACATCCTACATAAACCATCTTGCCTCTACATTTCATTCACTGCATTGTGTTCATAGAGATGCAGATTGTTCTAGTGTTCAGCATGCTCACAGAATATATGTCTAATAGTGCATGAAGATTAGATTATTGTCACTGTACGAAATGCATGAAAAACTTTCTACAAAATTGCAGGTTTTATTATTGCTGTTATTGTGTTATAATTATGCTTTACTAACAATCTAATGCTGCTTTCATTATTATTTTATCTTGTTTTTTTTTGTAGTTGTGTTTGTTTGTAGTTGTGTTTGTTGTAATTTGTAGTTGTGTTTGTTGTAAAGTACTAACAGGAAATAAATTTCAGCACTCTTGAAAAGTGGTAACTTATTTCATTCCATCCACACATGAAAACTGTACAAAATAACAGTAGCAATTATTTTACAACACTTGGCCAATTATTTTTCAAGATTAATTATATATGCCCCAATTGGGGCAGAAATTATTGCATTAGCTGTTTGCACCAATTGGTGTAAATAAACCAAGCAGAGATTCAGTCACCAATTGGGGCAATCAGCCTTGTGATAGCTATTTGGCCCAATTGGGGTGAATAGTCGCAGGGTGCACAATCTCCCCAATTGGGGCATCTTTGTATAAGAGCAGCTATTTGCCCCAATACCTCCCCGGCCTGTCACTTTGGGGCATATAGCTATGTAGCAATCCATTGCCCCAATTGGGGCAGACTGGTTACTAGTAGCTATTTTCCCCAACGTTCTAGTAGATCGTCCAGACACGGATATAAGCCTTGGAGGTGAGCGATGGCTCCATTTGGAAACCAGATATCAGTAGCTATTTGCCACAAATTCTATGAGTTCTATCAAAATTTGCAAGAAAGCAAAGTATTTAAAAAATAACAAATTGGCTAATTACTTCACTGTAAAGTTAAAGTCTTCGTTCCTCTGAGGAGCAAAAGTTTTTCTAGGAATAACTCTCCATCCAGACGAAGAGTTGTTGCTTGGGATTGCTCTGTAGTTAAGTTATGCAATTTTAAGAGATAGTAGACGCAGCAAAGAAATAAAACATCTGTCCGATATCGGAATGATATCAGATATCAGGAACGTGTAATTTTCAGGACCACATTTCAATCACATCTGATGGAAACACCGACAAATTTCTGATATTTAAATTTCTTTCGTCATCGGACAGATGTTTTATTTCTCACTGGATACATCCCGAGAGTAATCTACTTTTCTTTTCCTTACTCGGTTTCCCTATAGAAATTTAATTCGTCAACTACTATTTGGTATGTTGATGTTTAACTTGGTGCAAATAGCTACCCTACCCCTGATTGCCCCAATTGGTGAAAAGACGAATATATCTGCTAATTCCCTTGCGTTTAAGTTAGTTGGGGCAAATAGCTACCCTGTTGTCGACTGCCCCAATTGGTGGACATGCTCACACTCAGGCTATTTGCCCCAGCATAATTCAATTGGGGCAAATAACTGTTGCTGCTTCTTTTGCCCCAATTGGGGCTCAACTCCACAGGGCAGCTTTTTGCACCAGAATCCATATATATATAGTATGTATAGTATACTATTTTTATATATACTATATATATGTGTATATATATAGTATATATAGTACATATATACAGTATATATATACTGTATACTATACATACTATATATATATATATATATATATATATATATGGGGCGGCGGGAGCCGTAATTGGTGCAAATAGCGTTTAGTATTGGGTGCCCCAATTGGGGCAAATATCCACAATGATTTTTCAACACTTGTCCGCTTCTGCTTACCCATCTTCTTAAAGCCAAAATTGGCTAGGTAGCCAGCTACATAGACATAGTCAGAAATAGTACCCAAGGAATTCAATGGAGTGGAGTAAGACCTAAGAAGTCTGTTAGCTTTTATTAGTCTTACTGCATGTTCCACATATATGCGAGCTGATGCAATGGCTCGGGTTCGTATCTCCTCTTCTGCTGTGAACTGGGAACGTTTTCCCAGAGATGGTGGCTTTATAAGCTCCACACCTCTTCTCAGCAGCTCATCATTATTCTTAAAACCTCTATCAGACATGACAGCATCCCCTTCATCCAGTAGGTCATAAAAGCCTGACTTTGCAAGCATTTGGTTTTCTGACATGTTTCCCTCGAACCCAGGGCTAACATAGATGATTCCACCATGGCATGATATTCCGATTATAAATCTTACTGTGTTGTGACTTCTGTAGTCCGAGTAGGTATTACCCTGCTGTTGAAAATTGGATGGACAGTCAATGAACAAATCAAACCCATCAATAATTACTCTCAAGTTCTTGAAGGGCCTGAAAGGCAAGGGCTTCCTCTCATTCTGAGCTTCTGCACTGATGAACAGGTGCTTCTCCAGGTTTTGGAAGGTGATACACAAATACCGCAACACAGCATATACCACTCTGCAGCAGTAATCTGGGTCAACATCAAAGAAGTATCCCAAATCCTCGAATGGGTATCCTCTTCTCAGTCTTAACAGGAGCATGAAAAGTTTATCTTCAGAACATAGTAACCTTTGTGAGGAAAACTTCTTAGGTGTTTTCTGATCATACTTCATCTTGAGTTCCCTGATCCTGTCATTTCCTCCCATTAAATTATACACTGCTCGAAAATTGTCAACAGTTAAACCCGTTAAAAACTTGAATGATTCGGGTTTATTTGAACAAGTCTTGAAGCTGAAGACGGTTCGAATATAAATTACTCTTCCTTGTGTTAAGCTGCTGTAGTTGGTGCTGTTTCCATTTTTGCTGTCTTGAATTATCTGCCAACATACAATTACATGATGATTAAACAAAGTTTAGATTGTTTTCTTTGCAATTTTCAAAATTTGCTGGGAAAAAAAAGGGGGGGGGACTCAAACTATGGCACTAACAGATAAATTGCCCAAGAATCATTAATCACTAATTTTTTTCTTTAATTTCATTTTCAGCTGTGACATGCACATCGGTCCCTAGAGTGTGGGATAAAGGGTCGTTGAAAAGAGATCCAGGACCAATTAGGGAGACCCAATATGATTCTTTCAAGATCAACGTACAGAGACGAGCCTACTTTGACCCTAGACCCACAAGCCGCCAAAACTCAGAGATCACCCAGGAACAAATTAATATTCTCCTTTTCGACTTGAGTACAAACCCAGAAGAAACACTATTTCAGAAGCACCTGAAGATGAAGTACCCTGAAGAGAGATACTCTCCACTTGAATTGAAACATCTCTCAACTAAGTGCCGCACCTTCATAAAAACCTTACCCTCATTGAAAAAACGCTACCAGCTCTATTTCTACACCCCTGATGGTGCATTAGTGTATGAACTACCTCAAACAGTAGGTCAGAGAAAGAGTAAAAGGTGGTTGAAGTATAGATGTATTCATATGACAGGCACAGCTGCCTACACAGCATTACACCTTTCAAGTATTAAGGCTAAAAAGAATTTCCTCAGGAAGCACCTTTGGGGCTTAGATAGAGTAGAAACTGAAGCCATGAAATATGGGAGTAAAAATGAAAAGAATGCACTGGAAGCCTATGCACGAAAAAGAAAGAAGATTGATGGGACTGCAATAGTAGATGCAAATTGTGGGCTACTAAAGAGAGAAGATTTCCCTGAGGTAGCTGCCAGTGTCGATGCCATTACATTCTCCCGAGTGAACAGACCCAGAGTAGTGGAAATAAAATGTCCATATATCCTCAAAAACCATAATCCAAATTTCTACAAAAAAGTTCTCAGACAGTCTCAGAAAGATTCATTTTGCCTTGGATACAGTAAAGAAAGAGGAAATTATCTGAAAAAAGGTAGTCCATACTATAGTCAAGTGCAACATTACTTGGGTATACTAGGTCTGGAAGTTTGTGACTTCGTAATATGGAGCAAGAAGGGTACACTGATAGTTGAGGTGAAATTTGATAAAGAGCACTGGGAGAAAATTAAAGCTGCAGTGGTAGAGGCATACTGGAACCTGCTAGTGCCAGAGTATTTCTTAATGCGCACTCCACGCAAACTTGAACCAATGTACTTCAACTGGAAGTTACTTGAAAATACCTTAGAAGCTGATCTTGAAAACTTGTGAGTTGAACTCTGTAAACTAGGAGATTCTTCATACAACTTGCGCCTTGCCTTGCTACGGGATGCTTTTGGTACCTGATGCTGATCCTGTGGCCAAGAAAAACATTGCAAGAATACTTCAATTTTAAATTTTAAAATAATTATTTGACTTACTATTTTAAGTTTTAACTTTCATTGTACTTTTTAATTTTTTTAAGTCAATTTTGAAAGTTAATAAATGTCTAAAGGTGCCCCCACAATGAGCGCGAGGCGATGCCGGGTAGGCGATGCCGTGCAGCCAGGCCGTGCTTGCAGGCCGTGCCGGCAGGTTTACCGACTTTTATGCGAATACAGCTTTACTTAGAAGATCGGAGGCGTAGCTCCGCGCAACCGGCACGGCCTGCAAGCACGGCCTGGCTGCACGGCATCGCCTACCCGGCATCGCCTCGCGCTCATTGTGGGGGCACCTTAATCAGTAGATAATTACTTACAATTGGTGTAACTGTCCATTTTGTTGTTGATTGAACCTCACTGTCTATGGTCTTGTCAAGGACAGGAGTGGAATGGTGGGGAATTTCCTTTGAGGTTTCATTAACTTTGGGTGTAATATTTTCATAAATTAGAATGCTGCTGACTTCCCCTGTTTCACATTCCAAAAATTTACTCCAAGAAATACTTCTTATCTAAAATGAGGAATATTTTTTTAAGATAACTCTTTTATGAATTAATATTTAACAAATAGAATGAGACGTCATACTTACTTTCTTGTTCTCAATGGAAATTAAATTGCTATTAGGACATCTCACCACAGCTTTCTTACCATCCAAAATAGCACCTATTATTTTATACTTATTACAGCTTACTTCAATGGTTTCATCTATTCTGAACCCAACATTAGTTTTAGTAGATGTGATAGGGCGCACAAAGAGTATGCTGGGATGTTTTGATAGCATAGTCACTATCAAAATGTGATAGGAGCATTTCCCACAAGGACGAGCTTTTGACAAAAATGCATTGTTAATAGCTTCTTGAAGATTAACTGCACAATCTATTTTTACTTGTAGGCAAAGCAACAACTCTGGGATACTCTTTGATGTCTTACAAGCGGCACATGACACTGAAAAAAAAATGACTTGATTATCTTGACAAAAAATTATCAGAATTCTTATTTTGCTTTACAAATAGAAACTTACTTGTTGTATTCAGTTGTCTGCTAAAGATTTTCAGGATTGACTATTCATCGCTGCTGCAATTAGAAAGAAATAAAATAAGAGAGAGTTTCACCAATTAATTTGTGGATTAGACCCTGCAAATACTAACTTGTTTTCCTTCACCAATAAAGAGCGGTGTAAATAAGTTAAAACTGTTAAGACAGTTTCAAAAACACCAGTACAATTTAAAATGTCACTCAATCCTGAAAATAAACAACACATTGCACTTACAAAATAATCCGATAACAAACCAACTTTCAGTGCATTATAGTAATCACCAGAATTTAAGTTGATGTCAACTGTGCCCTTCTTCACACATTCCCAAATCATTCGGACACGACAGAACACACAATCTGCACAGGAGTGGTCGCCGTTCTCCAATAATTTAAGGAAAGGTGGAATGTGAAACAGAATCTGCAAAGAAACACACATTAAGTAAACATAAAATGTAATACAAGATAGTCAAGTGAAATGATCAGTTCTAAACTTACCTGAAGAGTTGCATTTAGAGATTGATTTTGTATTTCTTTGAGACCGCAGTGGGTATGAACAATATTTTGCCAACTGTTACTGGCATCCATCTGGAAAAAATATTTAACGCACCAGTGTATAACAAACTAGGGAAAACTGTTTCAACGAAAACCTCACAACCAAACGGTAAAACTTGTCACCTCAAATAGCAATCGTGACATAATGTAAGAGACACAAGAAATGATGAAACTTTTGGAGGCAAAAATTATTTATTAGTTATTTGACACCCGTTGGTCATTTTAAGTCTAGTACACAAATATTATTTGGCTGAGAAAGTGTTCTTGATAGGCTAGGTGTACCTTACACTGGGTTTACGAGTTGGTTATGTCGCTAAAAACTTACCTCGAATGTTACTAATGCGCTACTTAGGCATTATTTTCTTCAGAAATAAACTTTCCAACTTATATTTTGGCTGTCCTTTCTTAAAATAACTAAAAACTTGATTTTCTGCCACCCCGACTGGCGAAATGGTCGAAACAACAAAAAACCGGTAAGCGCGCGACTTCTGACCGACGAATTTCTCATACTACTTCCGGAGTTTTTGTTCTTCTCTCGCTGAGGCGAGAACGGGACAGGTAGTCTATCGTTGTCAAACTTATGGAAGGCTGGACTGGACGTTAGCGTAACTGACCGTTAGGTAAATCGGCATTGTATGAAATAGGTGTATGACTAAATAAACATTTGTCAAACTGAGCGTTAGCCAAACTGAACGCCATGCCATCAACATTTAAGGTATTCGACTTGGCGGTAACCATACACTACCAAACTCATTGATATTTCTGGTCACCGCCCTGCTGACCCTACAGCCGGCCGGGAGCCGCCGGGAACATGGTGGCAGAACAAACACCTTCGTCAGGCAACATTTAATCACGCGCCAGATTTTGAAGTTCAGCGCGCGGGCGGGAGCCGCGCTTGCTGTGTGCTGCTATGTGCTTGCGTGGCGCGGGGGCGCGGTACGCTCGGTACATGAGGGGGGGGGGGGGGCGAGGGGCACCCCCCACGGTATACACGCGTCGCTCTCGTCATCATGTTCGTGTACTCTACCCCCATCCCTCTCTGCCTGCCCCCTTCACCCGGACCGCTTTGTGTGCAAGCAAAACTCTCTTGCCGAGCTCTCAAATACCTGCGCCACTCCTCGCCGACGGCCCTGCGGGGCCCGCGCCCCTCCCCGCCACCACCCCGCCCGTGATCCTCCGCCGTCGACATCAGCCACTACCCGAAGCTGCTTGAAGACTCTCCGCAGTCGAGCGGTGCAGATTTCCGCTTCATGAGCCTTCCTCCTCTCCTGCCTTCCTCCCACGCAGGCACCTCACGGGGCAGTACGCCCTAATGAGTGAGGGCGTTGACACGAGACCCTCCCGACCCAAACTGTGGCGAACCCTTCTTGGCCATGGGAAAGGAGCCGTCTCCATGATACGAATCGGCCGATTACAAACAAGTTAGAGCAAAGCGGACGAAATTTTCCCCCCTGGCCTCTACATTATAAAGTTACCCCTAAGAAAGCAGAAAAAAAAAACTTTAAATAAATTATTTTTGCGACCTGTGGATTTTGATTTTTTGAAAAGTCAATTTTTGAGCTAGAATGCTCATCTTTGTACTCACACTGTCTTTTTATGACACAAAACGACCCTGAAATTCCCAGGTCGCTCAGTCAATTCCTTCTCGAGTTATCGTGCATAGACATTCGACAGACAGACAAACAGAATGAAACTTTTTCTGTCGGTGGAGTATTATGGGCTTCACTTAATCGCTCAGCCAATAAGAAGCAAGCGAACCGAATCCATAGGTTACCATGCTGCTGCAGTTTGTCCTCCGATGACGTGATGGTCACGACGGCGTCCACGGCATGTTTGGCGTGCATCACGTGCTCACCGTGGCGGGCTTGCCCTGCCCGCCCGAGAACCTGCCACAGCGCCGCGCCGTGGGAGAGCCCCGACGCTCTTTCACAAATTCATGAAACTTTTGCCGCTCACCCCGGCCGCTGCGCTGCCGCTCCCAAGGGATCACGCGCCACCTGAGCCGGCCAAGTGTTTTCACACTCGCTCTGGCGGGTAGCGCCGAGGAGGGCTCTGAGCCGGGCGAGGGTGTGAAGCTGTGCGAGGTGGACCACAACCGTGCACAGCGTGCGCACAAGCGCTGCCTGGCGCGGCGGTGGCCCGCAGAGTGCCGTAAGAACTGCTTGTCGGGGGCGATATTCACCCCCCGCCCTCCCCGCCCAGCCCTGTGGTGAGACGTAGCGAGGCGATTTGCGGTGACCCGGGGGAGGAGGAGGGGAGGGAGATGAGGGTCCGGGCACGGCACGTCCACAGCGAGGCAAACACACTTTGATCTTTTAAAACGTTATACAACCCTGCCGCCGGATATGGCGGCGCCCGGAAATCCTGGAAATCTAGCGCCCGCTTGCGCGTTGCTTTGCTTAACTCACCGCTCAGCGCGCCTCCACTGCTGCCCCTGTGCCCACGGCTCCTGATTGAAGTTCGTTAAAGCAGCACGCAGGTGGGCAGCGGGGACGGGTAGCGGGGCCGGGTCAGTGCCGGGGACGGGTTGGTTTGTCTGCTGCAAAGCTTTCGGCGAAAGAGGGGATCTGCTGTGGACCGGGCACGGTGTAGAGACAGATCTCTCTACACCGTGCGACGGGGACACAAGGGGCGGGGGCAGAGCAAAGGCTTCAGACCCGTTGGTCGCACACAAGGGGGGAGGGGGGCGGGGCGAGCTGCCGGGGAAGCTCGACTAGCCTGGGGTGTGCAGCGGGCCGAACTGTCGTTAGTTTGGTTAGTTGCAGTCTAGTTTGGCAGGGACTGGCCTTTGGACCCGGCCGAGGCAGAGCTACACAACGCGGCGGGCTCCCCGATCCAAGCTCGTCTGCTGGCCAGAACCACCTGAGCTGACAAAATAGTGTATGTCGGTCGGCTGAGGCAGAAGAGCGGGTAGAACATAAATATTCCTGGTTGGTCGAGCCTCTACCCCCTCTACTGGTGTGACGTAGAGGCGGGAATTTCTCGACCAACCGGAAACGTTTATGTTCTACCCGCTCTTCTTGTTCCACCGTTTTCTGAAATACACCATCCATCCAGTCTCGCTCAATCAGTGCGGCCCCGGCCGTCCTCGGGTTCGTTGTTTGGGTTCCAGGCAGCTCAGTGTCCCTAGTCCGCCCGTACTGCGAATAACGTGGAGTTCGTAAACAAACAAGTCCGCTAGGCACACAGTATGGCGCGCACGTGGACCAGTGGGACGTTTGAAGTGTGTGCGCATTTTAATAACGGTGAACGGCGCCATCCGTCTGCGATGTGGCACGCGCAGTGGACACATTTCAACCGTAGTGTTGCCGAGTCGCTATCCGCGGGACTGAGCTGCGAGTCCGTCAACCACTGCTTTCATCGAATGGTGTTTTGAGGTTAGTATATTACTGTTTCCTTTAGTCAAATTGGCACGTGGCACTTCTAAGGATACAGAAACATAAACTTTGAGTTCTTTGTGACTATCAGTAGAGCAATTATTAAAGCTAAAGCTCTTGAAGATCTGAACAAGAAGCAGAGGGGTTAGGGTTGACCTCGGTGAAATAGCCCATCGATTTACATACCTCTAGGTTCACCTAATACAAATGTACTAGTTTAAATTTTACATTGGAAAGTCTAGTAAAATCACCCCAAGTCAATCCGTTGCTTTTATTCTTGAAAGTATAACTAGCTCAAATTGTCTGATGTCATCACGTACCGGATCATTTTAGTAGCGCACACTGCCCCTAACTTGCCCTGGCTGTGGTTGTGTGCGGGGTTGTGTGCCGTGGCGGTGATGCAGTCCCATGTGCGGTACACAGTGAATATTTAACTGCAGGCCGCTTGTAGAGCTCCGCGAGCCTAGAATAGCTGCTTCATAATGCAGGCGATATACTCATCCCCCTCCATTCCTACGGCCGGTCTCCTTCCTCCGTGTGTCTCTCTCTCTCGCTCACTCGTTCTCTCGCGCTTCCTCTCCGCCTGCCCCTCCCACAGTATTCCTTCAACCCTTCGCAGCCTCCTCACCCTACCACCACCCCCCTTTCGCTGCCTCTCCCCTGTCCTCCCCACCTCATATCTCTGGCCCTTCACCTATCCACTTCCACTTGATACCCTGATGTACATCGGAAATCCATTTGCGCGGGCGTGGCGTGGCGTGGCGTGGCGTGGCGTGGCGTGGCGTGGCGGGGCGGGGCGGGGCGGAGCGTGGCGTGAGCGCGGGGGCACGCACGTGACTTGGCGGCGTGTCGTAGGGCTGCTCGCCCCGCCCCCATCCCCCAAAAGGAATACCAAAGCTCTCCCCGTCTGCTCGGTAATGGATGGGTTAACAAATGCCGGATGATGCTGTTTGGCTGGTTTGGGCTGTCGTTTATACCAAAGGTGGGAGTCGTTCCGCCAAACTACGGGGAAAAGAGAAATGTTTTTCTGCGTCCCTTTTTTTGAAATATTTGTGGCGGTTTTTCACTAAGCTGGCGCGGCGACCTTAAAATTTTACACCATTTTCAAGACAGCACAGTGCGACGACACAACAAAGTGTGTAGTGGCGTACGAGCCACTTTATCAGTTTGTAGCGTTGATGAACTAATTTACGAATTCCTCTCTCGCGGCGGCGCACAGCGGCGCAGGGACGCCCCATTGTTTCTCCAGTGATGATGGCTCCAGGACGGGAGGGGGTGGCTGCTTCCAGGCGGTATTATTCCAAGCCGAAAGTAATACGCGCCGAGTGAGGAGGCGGGCGTGAGGGGGGGGGGGGGGCACTGGCCCGCCGCCGAGCTGATGCTGATGGAGTTTTGGCCGGCCGCTGGCTTCCCCGTCTGGTCCGACAAATTGGAAATCGAGTTAAGACCGGGAGACGAGAGAGAGAGATAAAGATAGAGAGACGGAGAGGAGCCACGGCGAGGCTGTTCGGAGTGCTTGCGGGGCGAATGGGTTGCCTACCTCCACGGCGCATCGCAATCAACTTCTCTGACCCTTGACCTACCGGGACACGCTGCACCTCCCGACCCGCG